CCGCCATCCACGCCTCACCAAGAAGATCCCCATCGCTCGCATGGAGTCCTCACAGGTCGACAGTTCGACCGGTTTTTCTTAACCGAACGATTGGTCTGAATGGCTATTCATTCAGGCATTCAGATGAATCAGTTCTCCTACTTTACTTGTACAAAAGGATCACAAAACGGCAATCTGTTTAACAAATCCATAATGACATCAATCTGTCCTGTTTGGGGTGACCCATCACTTCTATGGACCTGACTACCTCATCAAGTCAAACAGCTTTCGCACTGACTCCTCGGGGCTCCCAGTTTTCACGCAGGCCATGGCGTACCGAAGTCGTCTGGTCTGAGCTAAGACCACTCTCGTTGCTGGTGCAACTCCCAAACCTGTTCGACTTGGTCTGTGGATTCTGACCTGAAGCAAAAATAACTTAAGCCAATGGAAAGCCGAGGTCCGCATGGACTCCGCAGTTTTGGTCTGTCCCGGAGAGTCTCCGGTCAGTGTTTGTTTGGTTCACGCCTAGCTAGCAGAATGCCTAGCGGCCTAGCAGTTGCGGTGCTACCTGCAAAATCTGCATGATGCGAATCATGCTGTGCCTGAAGTCGGTCAGTTGCTTCTCAAATTCGAGGTGCTTTAACCTCACAAGAAACCACTCAGCCATGCATATGGGACACTCCAGTGTCATCGCTTCAGCTGTCATAGTTCTCGGATCATCGGACTCTTCCCCTATGAGTCTATGAGCCAAGCGGCTAAGTACGACAACGGGATTGGACAAACACAAACCTTCAAGGAGTGCAGTACAGTAGCTACTTGTGAAGATTTGTTCAAAACTCCTCCGTCCCTCGGCTTCCGATGCCTTGAAGAAAACTCATCATCTCAAATCTGTTCAAAAGGTGGGTCCAACCTCCTGTGAAGCGTTTCATCTAGTGAGCTACTGGAAATTTGGGGACAACCACACCAATCAGTGACAGGCGGAGGGTACCTGTTGGATCCTGTTGGTAAATACCCTCCGACTCACTAACATGGAAGTGCAAAACCCCCTGTTTCTGTGGAGGAATGTATACCATGTTGGAGGTTCGTGCACCTGTTCCAACCAGCTCAAGGAAATTGAAGCAGCTCATGTCAGGACAGTCAGGACATGTCAGGACCATACCATCTACTGAGGAGTGCTCTTCCACCCGTCGACCCAGTGCCATTTCTTCCGCGGGTCCGGCGCGCACAGCGCCCTCCGGCGGATCACAGCTCCGTATGCCTGTCGGGCTGGCTGACGGCTGGGCCAAATTTGCTGTTGGCGTAGGCCACGTTCAAAGTATAGACTCAAACATCAGGAAAGGCTTCTGCATGTTGGATTTGGAGCGCCATTGGTGTCTGAAGCTAAGCAGTCTGACAGTCCGACATCGACTCAGAACCGCCACTCCCACCTGGCACGACCAGGTGCCAAGGTGTCGTTCGTCAAGTCCACCTGGCCACGACTCTCGCCGAGTGGCCCTAGGGAGCCATAGGGATGAGACACAAAACCAACACTGAACTGCAGGTATTGAAGAAATGGGTACAATGATGAATGGTTCTTGCTTATTGTTCAACCCAATGTCGCATCTCCTAGTTCAGAATCCCCAAAACTGTCCACCTCCAGATCTGATCGGATCAACCCTAGCAATCTTTTGCGGTGTCCACCCTGGTCTGCTCCAAGCGGCCAGGAAGTCCCGAGGCAAAATGCTCACGATGTGGTCCGAGGTAAAGTTCACTGCGACATGCGTCCTCCACATCTGGGCACGTCTTGTCGCTCACGTCTTGTCGCTTTCGGGATCTAAAAAACAAAAAAGAAAGCATCATTTCATGGACAAGCGATGGGTACACTCAGTAGTACCGCTTGAACCGCCTTTGCACAACAATCAATTTACAAGGTCCTTGAATACCTGGTGCTTGTGAGGCATCCTCACACATCCTCTTGTGCCGGTTTCCACTGGCAGGTCTTTAGCACTTCCGAAGCACGACGCCAGAAAACGTGCATCGCATGCCAAGCGGTCGCATGGCCAGAACAGGCGAACAGATCCAAACGGTCGCCATGCAACAACACCCGGCCTGGTGGTGTTCACCACCACAGCCGGCTCGGTGCGCCTCGGCGCGGTTGAACCGGACAGCTGTGAGATGAAGAAGGGACCACAAAATTCAAACGATGGTCCTCTATGGTCCCACGACTTCATGAATACGGAATGTTGAAGATTGCATTATTGTCCTTAGAACTTTAGAGATCTTGAAAAGTCTTGTATCCCATGCTCATACATCAGTTCTCAGGATTTTGGCATGTTCTTGCACCCCAAATAAACGGAAGAACCTGAAACAACGACCACCAGGCGCCGCGGCCGGCTCTTGACCAGCTCTTCCCCAGCGTCCTTGGTCTTCACAGCGAAGTGGGCCTGGTCATGGTGACTGGACCAGGCTGAAACCGGAGCTCAAAGCGCCAACAAAAGAGGTGGTTAACGGTTAGAGCATCAGCTCCAGGTGCTTTGAAAAAGAATGGAGCCGGTTGACATGGTCAAAACAACGTCCTGTTGGGACACGAATGCCCGTGCGAGACGAGAAGAGGTCGACCTAAATTCCTAGATCATGGGGTCTGCACACCCATACTAGCCGCCGTTACTAGCCAACCCTTCAAAGGAACACCAAAAGCTACCATTGCAGGTTCCTGGGCTAACTTTCGCTGACAGAGTCCATGCACGTTCTGTCATTCTGTGTCCTTTTTTCGAAGAGTCTTTTTCTAACCGCGCCCTCCACCAGCGACCTCAGAAGGTTGACTTTGTGCATATCGATCGCATACACTAAATAGTCGAGGTAGAGCTTGCACGGTAGTGGCTTTCAACGCAGCCTTGGGCAATGGGATGTCCTGGACATCCCTTTGAAGTCCAACTTCAGTTTCATCCGTCGAAGCCTGCACCAAATCCCCGGGCCGAAGCCCAGAAAGCACTGTGAGCTCTTGGGGCTTGAAGTACCTGGCCAAATGGGCGATGCGTGGGTAAGAGCGCATTGTGACATCAGATGTGACGTCTGTTGTTTTGGTCATTTGCTGAGTCCCTTGAAGCAATAGGATTGCCTGCACTGTGAGAATACGTCATCAAGATGCATCATGTCATAAGATGTCCCTGCACGGGGCAATCATGATCCATGTGAATGAGAGCGTTATCTGAAAGAACAAATAGTAGTGAGTAATGGTAGTTTCTTTTCTTTTCTTGTCTTGTCTTGTCTTGTCTCGTCCTTTCCTTTCCGTTCCGTTCCTTTCCTTTCCTTTCTTTCTCTCTCGACGCCATGACACAGGTAACACTTGAGAGGAGGGAGACACGAAAGGTAGGACAGCGGGAAGAGAAGAGAACGCGAGAGGCAGGAACAAAAATGCAATGTTCGACATGGTGATTTATCCCCTCGGAGGCGACCTTTCGCAAATATATGTTCATATGCACTCTAAATGTTCAAACATATGCTCTCGAAAGGTTCAAAAAGATTCTTAGGAAAACAAACTTGCCCCATGGCTCAGATCATCGGTGAGCATTGAATCGGAACATCATAGGATTTGAACTATCCTGAAACCATAAGAGGCTCACGAAGACGCTCCCCAGGAGAGAATTGACGTGCTTCACAAAACAAACTCTAGGTATGTATCCCCTCGGGGAACACCTTTCGTGATTAGAATTTCATATTCACTCTTTCTGAATGTTCAAGAGGGTTTCAACTATCCTGAAATCATGAGAGGCTCACGAAGACGTTCTCCAGGAGAGAATTGATTTTAGAGGGGGAGGGGGGGGGTGGGGTCTGTATTGAAAAATCAATTCCAAGGGGGCGGGGGCGGGGGGTTCTGTATTGAAAAATCTATTCGAGGGGGGGGGGGGGTCCTGAATTGAGCGATCAATTATTCGACCCGGACGAGCCGACACTTGCTTCGCAAGACAAACTCAAGGTATCCCCTAAAGAGCTACCTTTCTTGATAAATTTTCATTGATGTACCCATCCAAATCCAAACACACCCACCCAACTGTTTTGGGTGTCCATGGTGCCCATGCGGACCGCGAGTCACGTCCGCAGTTGTTGATCTAAATGAATGGCACAACGATCATCCCACCACTCCACATGTCCGGCCTGAATTCGATGTTGTGGTACCTCGACTTTGACATTGCAGAGTCAGTTGCAATGTGTGTAACACGACCAGTGAAAGGGCTTAAAGTAAATCTTCTCTGAATTGAGGGATTGGCAGCTGGATACTGAGATCCCATGGCAGCTTGAGGCAATGTGGATTGGCAAAATGATGTATAATGCAAGTACTTAGTACTCGCTATCAACCCGTCCCACCTAATACCGGTTCTCAATATCTATCAACGCGTACATCAACATCCAACCATCAACAACTCATCATGAACAATTAGAATCCTGCTTCAACCACAACAAAAGAAGTCAAGTTAGTAGAGTCGCGTCAATCACTTCACTGGACAACCGAGTACCTCTTTGACATGTCTTTATTGGCCTCCAACCTAATAGCGGCAAATCTTGCTGTCAGGTGCCCCAAATCACCTACAAGTAGATTTGACGCTCCGCCGCTAACGCGGCCGTGCTGCTCCGAATTCTCGTCCTTCTTCTTCGCGGGCTTCCGCTTGTTCCACCGCTCTGTCTTCCTCCGGTGTCTTCGACCATCCACGGCCAAAACAAGACCCGATCAAAAAGCTTTGTCTTTTTGTCGTGGAGGTTGTTTTGGGGTCTCTTCCATATGGCATCCCTAGCGCCATTCGTAGCCCCCTCTCTCTTGTCGTGCACCTGATTTCAGCCAGGGGGGGCCCACAAAGCTTGTCACTCTCAACTCACAAACGATGGAACAATAAGACTGCGCAACTTGCTCTCCATTCAATTCCACCCTTGGGAACATCAAATTGCATAGTCGGCTAGCCTTCGTAGGGACACTACGCAAACCGGCAAGACATCTATAATCACATAAACATACATAAACCATTGGTTTGGGGAATCTAGTCTCAGACTCATATCAAGCAAAGCTCCTTAGTCAAGACATGTTCAGCAAAGCTTACTAACTCACATTCTGACTCTGGGATAGAACCAAGCGAAGCATCACACGAGGTCTGAAGTGGGACAAGGCTCACTTCCTCTTTGGAGCCGTCCTTGGGCATTGTCGAGTCCCATCGCTACTAGTAACAAGAACGCTACTAGGCGCTCCTGGCCTTACTACTAGGAACAAGAAGCTACTAGGGGCTCCTGGCATCGCTACTAGTAGCAAGAAGCTAGTAGGTTGGAGGCCATCGCATGTCCGGGTGCCCAAGGTCGTGAACTTCGGGAAAAAAACCGGTGCGTCCTTGCTCCTAGTAGTAAGGCCAGGAGCCCCTAGTAGTGTCCTAGTCCAGCTCAAAAAAGAATCATAAACGCTGCCCCCCAACAAACCGTGTTCATCATGAAACGAGAAATATGCAGGCAGTGCCCAGTTCCTCCTAATTGCTCCACCCTTTGCTTTTCAGCTGAGCATCCTGAAGGAGGACAGTGTATTCTTCGAGAACGTGGTACGCCCGGTGGACGATGCCCGTGCCGCAGCACGTACCATTCTCATGGATGTAGGACACAAGAACGCCTCCGAGGCACAAACGGCTCTGGTGTCAAGGGTTGAAGACTTACTTGTTGTTCAAAGACCATCCCAAGTCATCAAAAGAGACATGTGCCATCAAAAAACACTGTACGTTGCATACTGCATGCTCGATTGCGATTGAGCTGCACTTTGCAGCTTGCACCATTGATTCAACGTGTTGTTGTGAAAAACAAAGACTGCCCATCTCCTCTAAAATCCCTTATATACCACCCCTCATTCCAACTTGAAAGCTGGCCGTTCGATGGTACCTGGTACGAGTATTGTCTTCTTTCACAGGAAATTCGAGAGACTACTAGTCTCAAGGCAAGGCTGCAACCTGGTGATGACATACAAGCTTGCCCGGCTTTCTCTTCTGGAACAGTCTCTCAAATTCTCAAATATTCAATATTCCGGCTTTCTGGCGCCTTTGTCGATCCAAGGTCGCACATGCGGCTTCTGGCCCTCTTCGTCCGAGCCACAATCATCCGTGAATCCTGCCAAGCCAATGAGGCTCTCCTTGGTTGCTGGGAGAACTATAGAGGTCCGAGTCCTAGTCCTATTTGGGTTGAATTCAAGACCTCAACAGGTGTCTCAACATGGGGTAGGTGTCAAACAGGTGATCCATCTCTCTTCTTTCCCGTTCACTGATTGCGCCACGTCCGCGTCCGCCCCAAACGTGGTGGCCAGTGCGTCCCACCAGGTCGTTGACGGCTGATCCGTTCCAGGCGTCCGCCTCGCAATAGGCCACGTCGTCTTCCACGCAGCGTTGCTCTGTGGTGCACCAACCACCACCCTTCGCCAGGCAGGACCTGGTGGACATAGCAAACACAGGAGAAAGGCACCCGCACGCCGGAGGGTTCGGGCATGTTAGGAGTTCTTGTTAAAGGGACTGTTGGTGCTATAGTCGAAAGAGTAGTTTGTTGAGTTCAAGACCCAAGTTTTTTCCTCATGCTCAAAGGACTTCAGTATCAAGGTTAATGGAAGGATTCAGTAAGTATCAAGGTTAATTGAGTTCCAAAATAGTATGGAAGTTTGGAGCTATTCAAAGAGTGCCCGTTGGAAAAGAGAGCCTTTCATCATGCTATTTTGTAGCCCAGCCAATCCATCATTGTATGTAAATAAGAGATACCAGAAGTTGCATGTGATAGACTCATCAACAGTTCAGAACTAAACTCACATTGTGAAAACGAAGATTTGAAATACCTCGACAAAATAGGCAGCAACTCATCAAAAGTTGCTCGCACTACGGATGATCTACAAACCAGTGGCATCCAGAAATTATAATCAACGGTCCACCCAACGCAATTTGCCCCTTGGGCTCGCCACTCGCAGGTCTCTGCCAGGTCGAGCTCTTCCTGGGCTCGTTGGATAATCCTCACCAAGTGCCTAGTCACTTAGCAAACTACGCAGTGTTCTCTTGGTGCGCAAGGGCTACGATGTTCTACGTTGAGGTGTTGGAGTCCCCCGTGACTGACTCGTGACAGAACTCCTGACTCACGCCGCAAGGAGGACCCTGGTCGCATGAATATTCGGTGCATGTGGATGTGAGCCACAGGTGAATTATATAACAAAGGAGCACCTCCTCTGCAAGTCGGTAATCGTTCAACCAACTCAGGATGGATTGGAACCAGATCAAATTATGTTGAATCACATTGTATAGTGTATATACTGTATATAATATACTATATATATATATATGTGTATGTGTGTATACCGGCCAGTTTGAGACATGTCACGTGAGGTCACATGTCTATTTCTCAGAAAGTGTTCTTCTCCCTTCTCCCGGGAAGGCCAAGTCTCCAGGTCAGCCAGCGCATGGCCTCGAAACAAAAACGCTGACAGGTGTCCTTTTTGTACATGTTTTGTTCCAACACCCAAAAGAATGAGAAAAACCTGGTTAGGCAAACCTTCAGCGGAATATTCCATGCAAGACCTGGCTCTTCCCCAGTCTGGTTGATGAGGAGTGTGTGATCCAAACCGTGGGTTCCCCCAGCAGACACATTATGGTGCCATACCTTTAGAAGTTCAGGAATGATGCCATAACACTATGTATAATCCAGAGGAGGCTCTGTTGCCTGGCTTACATGGTGACGCAGGATTGTAAAGACCAACTTTGGGGCATCTGTTTGGCAGGATTCACACCAGCACTGGGTCAGGATCAGTCAGGATAGCACGTCCTATCTCTTCCGGAGTCTTCCTTCCGTTTTCTTTCCCAGTTCTCCTGCAGGCTGAGAACCAACTAGGCAGGCAGCCGTCGCCACCGTCCACGCCCAACACATCCGACGGTCCGACCGCACCGAATGACACCGGATGACACCGGATGAAACCCGTCACGACTGGGTGGTGCTGCGTTGATAGAGTTGTGCTGGGTTGGCGGTTGGTGTGGTCTCTTTCAAAAGGACACAAAGGAGGGGTTGGTCAAAGTTGGTACAAAACTGGACGACAAGCATTTCGTGTGACGGGACGTCGGAAACAAATCCACGCTTGCTAGCATGGTAGAATGCTGAATACACTACACCACAATATGATACATGTTCTGCAGAGTGGGCAAGATTCAGTGCCAAGGTTTCATGGACTTGTTGGCAGGCTGATGGGTACGAGTTATGGTCAAAAAGGCAGACCTGCACTTCCCAAGAACTCTTCGTTTCATACTTGCATGCATGGAAACCTTTTGATGCTAAATGCTGCCGGTCAATGTGCATGACTACAATGGCTCTCAACCAAGGCCAAGGCCTATCCAATTCTATCCTTGTTGGGCACACGTATGATTCCTTAGACGGGCGCTTGCACCAGCATAAGAGTGTGTATGTCTTTGCTGGGGACGTGCATCAATGGGGAAAGACCAAAAAGAACTGACGTCCAGCCGCAGCCACCAGCGATGAGAATACTGTAACTCAACAATGTGGCCAAATCTCTCAGCATCCATGGCATTGAGAGCCTATGCCCCAGTGTGTGATCTAAGAACCTTTCACCACGGCTTCGGACCCCGCTCGCAAATCCTCTTGTTTTTCCTTCGGCATCTTCTCTTCTCGGCTCAAGATCCGTCAGGACGGAGGATTTTTGGCGCATCAAGAGGTCAAGACCGCCCGAAGAGATCGCCAGAGTTTCCCGCACGGTTTCCACACCCAACGCTTCGCCCAATGTGTCCTGCTTCGCCCAATGTCGCACGCCGTTCGGCCAGAGAGAACACCAACATGGACCAACACATCCTGGTCCGAGGTTGCCGAGCGCGTCGTCGCTGGAGGCCGCGGCCGGCAGTGTCAAAGTGCCTGCGTGTTAGGAAATGCCAACGAGCAAGGAAACCCACAGCGACTTGAGATAGTTCGGTTCATACAAAAGGAATGAAAAAGCATACAGTATATGATGTAAATGAATTATATACAGCCCATGTCTGTGATCAGCCACTCCAAGTCGCCAGTTTTTGTGCCATCTATATACTGAACCCACTGTACAACTCTGTACAACCATCGATTGCCTTTTGACTGCTGATGAATACCATCTGAGAAAGGCAGTGAACGTTTTCGTCAGGAACAGAAACATCGAAGTCGAAAAATGACATTCTGGGAGCACGTTCTTGTGCAAAGTGGAACACTCACTTGTCTTCTTGACCCAGACCTTTGACCATGCACAGGCAAAAAAGTCTTCCAGCAACCAAAACTGCGCGACCTGTCTAGGACAATCAATCTCTTTGTAATGGACAGGTGTCTTGGCACTCTCAATGTTGTGGCAGTAGGTCCAAAGTGTGGCAGGCAATTCGGACAAATCCTCCTCAAAACCCTTCCTCCGGGCAAGTCAGAAAGGCCTGAAGAATCACAGCTTGCGGCGTTCACGGGAGCCAATGGGATGGATGCAAGTACCTGGCCAACGGTTTCCGATTTGGAGGTCACACATCGTTCTGGTTGTAGGCAACATGAGAGGGGATGTGAGCTGATAAGAACAGTTTCGGGATAAGATTCTAGCCGCCAAATGAAAGGTCGGCCAGGCCCAGCTTGGCGCTTCTTCGGTCGAGCAGTTTTTGTTGAACCTCATTTGGGTTTTGCACTTACAGGTTGAGCCACACGACTTGTGAAGACAATTCAAAACACGAGTACTGCTAAGCTGGGACTAGTAACTTTGCTACACCCCCTTTGTGCCATCCCATGCACGGGGACGACCAGCATGAACTAGTTTGTAGAAATCGGTTCGGCCGTGAGACTGGTGTTACACCACTGCTATTCCTGCCAATGTCACACAAGCCATGCCAACAATGCTGAAACATGAACTGCGCCGCTTGCATGCAATCATGGCTGGTATTTGTACCAGCCGCGCCCATCGTTGGACCACCAAACGCCCCAGCACTCACCATCACAATGAGGACAGCATCGTTGCACTGACGTAGTGGGAACCATTCAGCTTCGACTAGCGGCTGTTGATGCTGGCTGAGGTCTTTTGCCGCTCGGCTTGGTCACTCCGGTGCTTCTTATGCTCGATCAAGCGAAGTGCAGGCTGCAGCGAATTGGCCGTTAGCCCTTTCCACATCATCTAGGTGCTTCACACGTGTGACCCCAGTAAACCTTTCCAAATTAGATCAAAATTAGCATCGTCAAACGCTTCGGTCCTCAAGCCCACGCCAAAGGTCACCTGCTGCCGTGTTCGTGGTGGACGGCACAAATGTCCATAAGGCAAGCACCTCTTGAATCATGTCATTGCTCAGTCATGTGCTCAATAAACGTGGCTTCAGCACTGTAGCGATCGACAAATTCCGGTAAGCCCAGCGCATGCTCACATTCCTCAGCCATGTGTCTTAAGGACACATCTGCCCACGGGCATCCGTCCTTGCCGATCTCTTGACGTCAGCCGTGAGGCCAGCGTGCCCAAGGTTTCTCAAGAGCTTGGCTCGCTTCACCAGCAGCATCTCCCGACGCTCCGAGTCCTTTTCAGCATCCTTTAGCAAACGGGAATGCTGCCCTTGACCGTCGTGGGTGCGGCTCTGGCCGGTATCAGCGATAGTGGCTGTGTTTGCAGGCTCAGCCACACAATATGTTTACTGTTAAGCGGGGCCCACTGCATTTTTGAGCATTCACAGCTAAGGGTAGAGGTATCCGCCGACCCCAGCCGATGGCAGGGGAGCGCGTCAGAGAACACTGCTGCATCCGGCTCCGTGCAGTTACTTGGTGCATGTTCACAGGGGTTCAACAACTGCACTATTCGTGGCAGCGAGGACACGACTAAGCGATGGACACCGGACGGATATCGTTGCGCCGGAGCTGCAAGTATTCAGGTTACATGCATGCTTGCAAAATTTGGCTTTAGCCCTCTGGTTGGGGGCGCAGACTGCCTTCCGTGCGGGTGCAAAACGCACGAGGCCGACCACCGCTGTGGTAGAGCAGATCGTGGGGGCCTCCAATCAGGGTGCTGCAACACTGCTCCATCCTGCCGTCAGAAAGCAACGCTTGCCGGGAGGTCCTGGAGAACGGCTCATGGGAGAGGAGAAGAAAAGAGATTTTTACTGCCGTCAGAAAGCCACGTTTGGCACTGAGAGAGCAGCTCGGAGGATGAAGTTTTGGTCGTTTTTGCGTGGAATTAGATTGTGGAAAGCGTGGCGAGGGAGATCGCCGGGAGCTCCAAGAGGGGGTCCGAGGACGAGGAGAAGAAGAGAGGTTTCCTGCCGTCAGAAAGCAACGTTTGGCACTGAGTCGTTTTGTGCAGAAGGCACAATCAAGCTGTTGAAGGAATGCAACAAACATTGGGAAACCATCGAATCATAAGTCACAAGAAGATTGAAGGAAAGCAGAAATCAAAGGCCCATGAAACCAAAGTTGTGCCCCAGCTTCGTTGGTCCACGCATGAAATCATGCCCTGCAAGAGACTGCACGTCAGCACCTCGATGGTTAGACTTCCCACTTGGGTGGTTTCACACGCTTTCCCTGTAAATCGTTACGGTTCAAAGCGCCATGAACTTGAACCACGTCTCTTTCCGCGAACAGTCGTGAAAAATTATCCCGGCGAGAGACCCCAAACAGTGTGTGTGTGTGAGGTCTACAATCAGAAAGTCTATCTAGACGCATTGGGGTCCGGAGAGGTGACGGCGGTGATGAAGGTGAGGATCGTGGTGACGGCGATGGTGGTGAGTAGAGTGAGTGAGTGTGAGAGTGAGAGTGAGACTGAAAGTGATGAGTGTGAGTGTGAGTGTGAGTGTGAGTGTGAGCGCGTGTGTGAGTTAGAGTGTGTGAGTGAGAGTGAGTGTGAGTGTGGATGTGAGTGAGTGTGAGTGAGAGTGAGGGAGTGAGTGAGCAGCTAAAACAGTGCGCTGCGCCTGCTACGAAATCTGCACGCGCCTGCTACGAAATCTGCACATCGAGGTTCACAAAGCGCTGCGCCTGCCACGAAATTGCGCTTCGAGGTTCACCAAGCGCTGCGCCAGCCACGAAATTTGCACTTCGAGGTTCACCAAGTGCTGCGCCTGCCGCGAAATCTGCACTTCGAGGTGCACAAACGCTGTGCCTGCCGCGTTCACAAAGTGCTGCGCCTGCCGCGATATCTGCACTTCCAGGTTCACCAAGCGCTGTGCCTGCCACGAAATCTGCACTTCGAGGTTCACCAAGCGCTGCAGAGCCTCCCGCGAAAACTTCACCAAGTGCTGCGCCGCCACGAAATCTGCACTTCGAGGTTCACCAAGTGCTGTGCCTGCCACGAAATCTGCGCGAGGTTCACTAAGTGCTCTGCCTGCCACGAAATCTGCGCGTCGATATCTATCTATCTATCTATCTAACTATCTACATTCTACATCTTGTAAATCCGCCGACCCCAGCCGATGGCGGGGGAGCGCGTCAGAGAACACTGCTGCATCCGGCTCCGTGCAGTTACTTGGTGCATGTTCACAGGGATTCAACAACTGCACTATTCGTGGCAGCGGGACACGACTAAAAGATGGACACCGGACGGATATCTTTGCGCCGGAGCTGCAAGTATTCAGGTTATGTGCATGCTTGCAAAGTTTGGCTTTAGCTGTAATAGCCAGAGATGCCTCTGGTTGGGGGTGCAGCACGCCTTCCGTGCGGGCGCAAAACGCACGAGGCCGACCACCGCTGTGGTAGAGCAGATCGTGGGGGCCTCCGAACAGGGTGCTGCAACACTGCTCCATCCTGCCGTCAGAAAGTAACGCTCAGTTTGGGTTTGGAATTAGAGTTTTGCACTGCCGTCAGAAAGCAACGTTTAGAATTGAGAGAGCAGCTCCGAGGACGAATTTTCTGTCGTTCTTGGAGTGGAATTAGATTGTGGAAAGCTCTCGCGAGAGAGATTACCGGGAGCTTCGGGAGCAGGTCCGAGGACGAGTTATAAGTCGTTGGTGGTGTGGACATCGGCGGAGGCCGGGTTTGGGCACATGGCTACGGACGAGAGGACACAAACAGCTTGTGCGAAACACCTAGACAGACAATGGCAAACACATTGGGCACAAAGCCTGGTTCAAGAAACCAATCAATTCAGGCGTTCCAATCTTGAGCACTTCATTCAATTCCTTCGTCCTTCGCAGCTAGCAGTGTGCTCTTCTGATTGCTTTGGCTGCTAACGGTCCCACTGGGGTAGGCGGCAGGGGGCATCAGCCCTTAATTTAAGGGCTTACGCCCGACAGCCGGCCAGGGGCCCAAGCAAAGGGCTTGTTGCAGTCGTGGTAGTGTTCTTGTTGTTGTTGTTGTTGTTGTGGTTGTGGTCGTGGTCGTGGTCGTGGTCGTGGTTGTTGTTGTTGTTGTTGTTGGTGGTGGTGTTGTTGTTGTTGTTGTTGTTGTTGTTGGTGGTGTTGGTGGTGTTGTTGTTGTTGTTGGTGAGGTTCTCGAGGTTGTGGTTGTTCTTGTTGTTGTTGTTGTTGTTGTTGTTGTTGGTGGTGGTGGTGGTGGTGGTGGTGTTGGTGTTGTTGTTGTTGGTGGTGGTGGTGGTGGTGGTGAGGTTCTCGAGGTTGTGGTTGTTCTTGTTGTCGTGGTTGTTGATGATGTTGTTGTTGTTCTGTTCTTGTCGTTCTTGTGGTTGTGGTGGTTGTGGATGTGGACGTGGGTGTTGTGGGGGTGGTGGTGGGGATGGTGGTTGTTGTTGTTCTTGTTGTTGCCCCAGCACCCGCCCACGATGCAGACGAAGCACCCCGGTGAGGCACGCATTTCCAGCATTATTTGGGCCTATGTTGGGCCTATGTTGAGCCATGTTGACCCATCTTGCGCCCCAAGAGCGGAAAAGTGGAAGAAGCAGAAAACACTGTAAAACACACGATTCTACATGGTCTGTTGGGGGGTCGGCGGCAGGGGCGGGACGCCACTCTCTCCTACGGAGAGGAAAGACGCCTACGGCAAGGACACGGCCCGAAGGAGAGAGGGGAGTCCCGCCCCTGCCGCCGACCCCTGTGGAATTGTGTGTTTTACAGTGTTTTCTGCTTCTTCCATTTTTCCGGCTTTGTGGCTCCAGATGGGTCAACATGGCCCAACATAAGCCCAAATAATGCTGGAAATGCGTGCCGCACCGGGGTGCTTCGTCTGCATCGTGGTCGGCTGCTGGGCTAACAACAACAACAACAACGACGACGACGACAACAACAACAACAACGACAAGAACACTACCACGACTGCAACAAGCCCTTTGCTTGGGCCCCTGGCCGGCTGTCGGGCGTAAGCCCTTAAATATTTCAACAGATTTCGCGTACGATGGGGCAAATGCTCTTATGTATCATGAACATCTCACCCAAGCGTGCCCGCCCGCATGAGCACTTGGGCAAGTTCCGGCTACGCTGCTCCAAGTCGTGCAAAATGGCCTTGTAGGGCCTTGGCTGTCAGCAACTTGTGGGACTGGACAGGAGCTTGAAAGTGTCTGCAAAGCATTGCTCGAATTGCTCGAATCTAGAATCGCCTGATTGTCGCCAGAAACGTACTAATCTGCAGAACTTGTGCTTGAAAAAGATGTAATTACTGCGAGACCATCCTATTTATGCAAATCTTCTTGCCAGCCGTGCTGGGATTGCGACCCCCCTTGCACCAGCTTGTTTAACTGTTTGGCACCCCAATAAGACTGGTTTTGTGGATCTGAAATGCCCCGAGTCGTGTCTGTGGCTTCTCTCTGCCATTCTGAGAATCGCACGAACAAGGGCCATCAAGCATGTAGAAGTTGAACCAACACGCGTGTGCATCCACGCGCTGCCTTAGAGGTGGGTGTAAGCCGAAAAGACGCCGGAGTTTACATATCTGTCAGGTGCATTTCCGAAAACACCAGGACTAGAGAATGTCCTGTTCAAATTGAGTTGGAGATAGTTGGAGTACATACAATGTACACACAATTATGACATATCATGACTGTAATTTGGGAAGTGCATCTCCTGCCAGCGACTAGTCTGACCGTTGGTTTTGAATGTTGAAGTAAACCACTCCTAGCTTGGACACTAGCTTGGGAAAGCTCTTGAAGAACAGTTTGAGGAGTAAAGGCAATGGTGCCAGAGCTTCTTCCACCCAGTGATGAAGTGCTCCTGCAAAGAAGCTGTTTCAAGGGAAAGGGGCAAAGCTACACTATCAATATCACGCTTGCCTACAGATCGGCAAGTTTATATAAATCCGCCAACACTCCCCCACACACCCCCTCAAAGCACCCTCCAGCTTTTCCCCACCGAACCATCAACCTGGGCCTCCAAACTTCATCGTCTCAACCAGCTCACGGCGGTTCTCCACCATGTCCTGGTCTGGGCAGCTCGCCACAGTTCCCATTCGCCCCACAGATCCTGGTTGTCCTAACCATCAAGGTATAAAGATGTATAAAACCGTGCATAAAAAGGTGGATAGTCCACCCTTTTGCAGTTCTCAGCCGACATAAAGACCTTGTGTGTGTGTGTGTCCACTCCTGTTTCCAAGGACACTACCCTAGTTTTTCTAATCTACCCTACAAGCTTTTCTGTACAGAAGCAGGGGGCGACAGAGTCGCTGCATGGCTGTCGCCAACGAAGCTCCATGCAGTTGACTAGGATATCACGGCTGATCACCGTGACGTACCTGCAATTTAAATACTAATTTTGATGTTCAATCGCTGAGATTTCTAAGTCAGTGCAACGCTGTCTCATACGTTGTTTCCTGCAGTATCTAGATTTAAAGGGCTAATACACACCGCGAAGCTACCTGAAATCACGCTCCACGGAGCAACCTTCTCAAGTGTGT